TTTCACCCCACCGGATACAAAACTATATGTCATACAAAAATCGCATATCCAAATGAACAACATAATTTACACTTATGCGAGATTTTGTCATATATATACTAATGCATATCCAAAATAGACGCATAGTTAACATTGGTAAGAAACATAGTCGCAGATTTGTTTATCGCATATCCATATACACCGCATAATTTTTGTTATGCGAATTTATTTTGCATATATAATTATGGCATATACGAATTGGTAGCCGCATATTCTACGATTATGCCATAAGTTTTCGCATATTTTATGTCTCGCATATCGAAATTGGACGCATAGTTAACAAGTATGTGAAATACTTACACATAATATGTAATAGCGTATCCAAATCGAACATCGCATATTTTATGACTATGCAACATTATGTCGCATAGTTTACGACCCGCATATCTAAATCCACCGCATTATTTAAAATATACGAGAACTTTTCGCATATTTGAATCCACCGCATAATTTTCCACTTCATAATCCACCGCACTAATTAAGTAGCAATCGGATATGATTTAAGAAAAAATGGATATTTTTTAGGACTTGATTAGAGAACTATTTTTGAGTATTAGTTAAGTGAATAAATAATTAACACCTGGATACAGTTTGGTAAAAGGCCGGATATTAGTTAATTGATTAATTAAGTAACAACTGAATATTATTTAGAAAAGGTCAGATATTTTTTAGGACTTGATTAAATAATTATTTTTTAATATCGGTTCAATGCATGATTAATCAACAATCGGAACAACCAGATATTTATACTTATATAATAAGAATTAACATTTATCCAAAATAGTAGGTCAAATTATGGTCAATGTCGGATTTGCATTAAATATTTTCCAAAACCGGTAAGTTTTTGTCCTTTTCACACTTCTTATTAATTATGTCATTTTCACACTTCTCATTAATTATGTCCTTTTTACACTTCTCATTAATTATGTCTTTTTCACATTTCTCATTAATTATGTTCTTTTCACACTTCTCATTAATTATGTCATTTTCACACATCTAATTAATTCATTAATTACGACATAATTATCATAAATCATTCCATCTGAGCTTTTATCGTTAAAATGTATAACGATCTGTTATGACCTTATCCCATTGATATTTCCATGAAGCGTCCTTATCGCGTTCTATTTTTTGGTAACCACTCTATATCAATAATCGGATATTTGGTTAATGATAGCACACGTCTTTATTTCAAGGAGCGGATATTCTTTGACTTTTAATTAGTCTGAATTGATTGCCTTAACTTTTCAATTTTTAAAAACTCTTTTTTTAAATATTTTGGCTTAAGATTCAGATTTCATTACCAAAAACAGGTAGCCTTATTCATATAATCAATCCTAAAATATTAATTTGTTCACAAAAAAGAGAAAACCCTAGAAATCCTAAAATATTAGTTTCTTCACCAATCCGAAAATATTAGTTTGTTCACCAAAAATATTAGTTTGATTTTTAGGATTTGTCTCTTTTGAAAATATTAGTTTGTGATAATGAGGAGTTACCAAATAATCAAACTCATAATGTTGTGTACAAGGAGGTTTTTAATAATATATGATTGTTGCCGAACTTTTTATGATTCAACAATGTTCCTATGTATTTTAATGATTTCAATTTCGATCCTAATGCACGTGAGATTATATTATTCTTCCAAATTTTACATCCCGTGCATCGCACGGGTTACGTACTAGTAATTTAGAAAAAAACTGTATATTTTGAAATCGTTGGATTTTTTTTTCATCGTCGGATATATGCATGTTATATATTGATTAACTAAGTAGCAGAAATATATAATTTAGAAAACACCGATGAATCGTCAGATATTTAACTAACAATAATAAATTTTTTGAAATTGTCGAATATTTATTAGTAAATATTATTCAGATTGTTTAATTAATTATTTGTTGACACATACAATTACTCATTTTTTTTAATATCCGACTTGGTATGGTTGAAAATTTTAAAATCATTTTGTTGACGGGCGTTTCCGGTCAACGGTTAAAAAGATAAACAATAGAAGAGGAAATGGTATAGAGACAAGAAAATACGGTTCAATCGCAGTTTTATTGACAGATCGCTAGGTCGGCCTCTCATACGAGGTCGGCACTTGCAATATCCTTACAAATTATTACAGAGTAATTACGCGAGTTTTAGAGAGAGAAAGTAGAGAGAGATAGCTATTACAGTTGAGGTTCAACAACCCAAAATAAATGAGAAGGGTTGCTATTTATAGTAGCCTTTAATGTGGCACTGTTCAGATACTGTTCATCCGTCTTGTCGTACAGTGTTCCTGCGAGACAGTCCGGCGCTTCTCTGACAGCATTAAATGCGATTTGAGGTTTTCCTCATCATTAGGTGGCAGGCATTTAATGCTGACAGGCTTTATGTCTTAGCTAGGAGGAGTAGGTCTGCAGGCTATGATGTCCCATCCATTTAGCCAATGATTGCCCTCCAAGTGGCATTATTATACCATTATAGAGACCGGCATTCTCCGTCGTAGAGACCCGCTCTGGGACCCCAAGTCGGCACCTCGGCATCTGACTTTCATCTGTTCCCTTGGTCCTGGGGAATCTTTCTTTCAGTCCGTCGTTTCTCAGCCCGGCACCCGCGGCGTCGTAATTAAAGATACCGAACTGACGAATGGTCTCACGGCGATGTCAGGATCAAAAAGTTTTCCGGTTCAGCTCGGCACTTTACGGGTAGACCGGGTCTCCGGTTCGGCTCTTGGAATTGTGCTCCGGCTCGGTCTCATGGGCGAACTCGGATATCAACATGCAGGCCCCCGGGCTCGGAGAGGGTGTGCTTCGGCATCCTCTATGAGGCCGTCATTCTTAGAATATATCTGAGGTCGGCACATAACCTGGACTTAAGCAAATCACAACCACAATTTGCCCGTTATCTTCTGACCTGAATTGACGTCCCATTTAATGCGTTGTGACCGTTGTGCTTCTTGTCGGTTACGAAAAGGTGTGCCGGTTCAGAGTCTTTACACGTGTCGCTCGGTAATTGGGGCTCTCCAAACGGCGTGTCGCTTCGATGAGACGGAGACTTTCTGGGCGCGTGGCCTTCACGCGGCCGTTTACGAACCGTCGGATCGTTTCGTCCCCAACCGTTGGATCGTGTCATTAATTTTGAATTTTAAATGCTGCGCCACGTGTGTTGTCGCGATTGGTCCTCCGTGCGTATATATATTTCCATCGTCTTCTTTCAGAAGCTTTTACGACTTCTGAATTTTCTGAGCGAACAAATTCTCGAGCATTCAACCTTCTGAGCAACTTTACCGAGCGATTTTTAAGGTTTTTCGCGTCTTTCCAGCGACTCTCAGACCGGTAATTCCGTTAATCTGAAACCTATTTCTTTATTTTCTTTTAATTATGTCGAATTCTTCCGAACTCGCGACGAACCCCTCCGCCGGAGATGGCGGCTTCACGGCGGAAGAGACCGGGGAATTGGTCGTCTACTCTCCTCCGGCGACCGGCGCACTGCAACCACTTCGAGTGACTCCGATTTCCGCCGTCCGTGTGACGTCGGCGGCGGCGGTGGGCCAACATGGTCAGGGGCCCTTGGACTTCCCTACCATTGAGATCATCGACCTCGGCTCTGGCCAGTCCGACGCCGAGGGGGTCGAGAAGGAGACCGGCACCATCTCTCCCGACGAGTCTGACGTTGACGCCGAGCTGGTCGAAGAGACGCTCCGAGGCGACACTCGTGGACGAGAGCGGGTCCCTATGGGCCGCGAGGACACCGAAACTGATGCCGCAGTCGAAGCCGCCACCACGGCTCCTCTGGGGTGTTGGTGTCGCCCCCCGCGGGTGTGGCCTTCTACCGCCTCGGCTACCGCGTGGACGACCCCCTCGGTGCTGACGGATCTCGATTTGGCCAAACTGAGGGGCAAGGCCAGCTTTGGCGCCGGGGTGAGAATTTTCGCCCCATATGCAGGCGAGCGAATACACTGTCCGCCGCCGGGCTGCATCGGCGTTTACCGGTCGAGTATCTTGCTTGGCCTCCGATTTCCGCTGCCCGCGGCTTTGAATGACATCCTCAGTCACCTCGGCATCGGCATTAGCCAGCTCGTCCCGACGGTCTTTGCTCGGCTCGTCGGCCTTATCGTCCTGTTCCGCCAGCAAGGGTGGTCGGATCCCACAAGTGCCGACGTGGGCTCTCTATTTGTCTTCAAAAAGTCCGGGGAGACCGGCAATTACTACAGCTCCGTCGCCCCGGGCGTGGACAAGTCGTTGATCCATAAGGTTCCGGAATCGCTGCACGGCTATATGCCGGAGTGGTTCTGGGTTGGTGGTGAATGGAGGACGCCTAACGCGACTCGGCACCCTTCTGCCGAATTTATTACCGGCCCTTGTAAGTGTTTTATTTATCCGGCTTTTCCCCTTCTGATTTACGTTTTTTCTATGCTAACAGGTCGGTGTTTGCCTTTCAGTCCACAACCCCCATATCGAGCCGAGCGACGAGCTGGTTACGAAGATCGAAACTCTGCTCGGGCTCGCCGTAGAGAAGCGCAACTACCGGAATCTTGTTTCGGAGGAGAGCCTACTCCAGCACGACCTGTGCCCCGAATACAACAGCAAGCACTTCGAGCCCGGTATTTCTCCTTCACTTCCTATCGTTCTCTCGTATATTTGCTTTTATGTTTATTCTCATCCTTGCATTTGGCAGTGTACTATCCCCTCC